TTCCAAGCTTAGCGTTCACTGCTCGCTAAATACGTCAACAGCTGCTTATATTATTCTGTGTACTCAGATGATTGGTACTCAGGGCTGCAGCTCTGGCCTAACCACAGACACTATCGTTGATCTGTTGGCTCCGAAGGACACACCGATATTTCATTCATTATAAACCAAAGTTAGGGCTGTCCGTGAAAACACCGGGTCTTGCACCTAGGGCAGTCAATGAATATATCGGGTGCCTTAGCTACTGAACACAATTCCGAGAATACATGTCCTTCAATGGCTTCAATGAGGGGAAAATATACTAGGACACATAGGCTATTCCTTTAATTCAAACGAATAACTGTTTCATGATATGTGAACGATGTTGATTGCAAACAGCCAATACACCAGCGTCAGCTGCTGATTCTGGGCTGTTCTGACTAATTACTTTTTGTTACCGCCACTAATACCAAATATCATCGTCCTTTGGAGATATAGTTAACTTTAGGAACAAAATGTAGGATTATACTCTCTACAACCAAGCTAAAACTACCGAGCATCCCATATCTTTTGTGTTTATTATATTTATAAATTTGTTAGCGATGTAAATTTTTTAAAGACACAACCGCATCCTAATTCTCCACCTCGTTTGAGAGGGTCAATCATAAACCGCTAATCCGCCATGTTGCCACTTTTGAATGTTCCCGCCATCTAGGTATCAACCAATCAGAATGGGGATGACGCCGCAAGTCGCGCGATCGCGACAAAGCCATGGGTCCAGATGGGCGCACCGGATCTCGAATATCCTGCAGATCACAAACAGGATAGTCCAAGCGGCGCAATTCATCCCGCGGGACCCATACACCATCACCGGTCAAGTCCATCTAATAGTTTCTCCGGACATAGTCTCGGATTTCCATGGATGACTTAAAATATCGCAACAATCCAAACACAACGCGCTCCTGCTGGGCATTCAAACGTCGGTTCACAGCATACACTTGTCAATCAGACGAACGCAGGTCATGCGAGTGTTGCATATATAAAAACTAATTATTACCAGGCGACTGTCACGGCGAACGACACGCATGAACGATCGGCAATCAAAATAAGCGTAAATAAATGTAAGTTATTTGCATGGTTATGCGGAAAAATATCATCTTACCGACGACCCTTTTGATTAGCATTCCAGTGAGAACGCATCCTGTGAATCTACAAGACATTCTACCACATTTAACCATCCTAATTGGCCGTACCGTCGTTGCAACCGCGCTGGCGGCGTCCTGCACGTCGTGGGCAACCGGACCGCAAGCGGAGCAAGCGAGGAATGACCATTTGTGGCTCGACACCAGTTTATATACCCTCCTGACATTGGCTTTCATACACCAACTGCCCGGTCCAGACCGAAACTCGCTGACTCTGCGCCCAACTTCCCCTCTATGTTGCTCATTTTTGGACGATGTCGGACCAGCGATAAGTAAATCCGCTGCAACCTTGCCTACTTTGGGTATTTACAGAATTATGAACGTGGCGCGGCCGAGAGAGTTAATTATGATATCGGGGCTGTTTGCTCCGCGGGAGTGTATGAGAACACCGACGTTGCAATATTTTTGTAATGTTCGGTCTTTCGAAAGCCATAAAGTTTAAACACTACTTGGATTTAGACCCGTTGTAGACTTGAGTGTCACTGCGGTTTAATGAAATTTCCTTGATATATTTTTCCACCCTATTCTTTACTTTACGTTGATATTGCTGACACGTGTATTTTTGCTGACTCCTCCAATATATATGGACCGCGGGTACTTGGCGGATTTTGTGAGCTCACATGCCCTAGGGTACATGGACCCATTGTTCGTCATCGCAGAATGATACCAGTGTTCAACACCGATACTTCGGTGCACTTGAATAGGTTTTCTCTATTTTCCATTGAAGCTGAGGATGGACCGCGTAATCTCTGGCTGCAATGGATTCTGAAAATCTGAAAAAAGCCGAGAAGATTTGGCTAAATTTTTTTGGTCGCCACCTTTGGCTGACCGTAGACACCGGTAGCAAGCGTAACGTGCCACCCCTGACCACCGGTTGTATGTTTATTGGGAACTTGGGTGAAAGTTTCACGCCCAGCTTCCAACTTTTGGCGTTACTACCCACTGAATGTGGTTCGTTCAACTGGAATTGTACTTCCACTTCCGCCATATTGCCCCATAACAAACCATGTTTTTGTACGTGGTTTCAATCTCCCAGTGAAATTGCCGCGGATTTTATTGACTTCATAAATCCCAGGCGAGTATTGAACCCGTACAACACTATTAAGGCAGTCATCATTAAACGGACATCATCTCCATGAATCCAATTTCCATAATTTGATTTCAGGAGCCAAACTGGGCGACCGCATGCAACACGCAAAGCCTGGTTTGCGAGAAGTCGTTCGCCGACTCTTTTTTAAAGCAGCTGCGGATGCATTGTCTTCCTCTGAATACACCAAATACTAGCTAGGCAATCTGATGTCCCGCTGTCGCCACTCGGACAGCAGACAATTCATGAACCCTTCTCCGACCGTTTAACTATTTCAACCTTCCAGCAACCCGGTCAGTCCAGTGGTAATCCTGTTCTGGCACGCCCCGATCGAATGTAAACGCTAATCGACCGACCCGTAGCCACTGTGAACAGAATAGTTACCACCCTTTCGGTGCTCAACTGCCATGCCACCAGAACGAAATACGAGGGCTGGCAGGTTGTATAAGCCTAGACAGGGAAATCGAGAGGTAGAGGTGTGGTTCGAACCACGGGCCTTCCGGTCAGTGAATTCGTGCTGTAACCACATCCATATTGCCACTACAGCATCGAAGCAAGATACAATACCGCACAAGTTTCCCGTGAGCCGCGCTCCCCATCACCAGATCATAGCGCCTTCTGTTTTTACCATAACAAGTTTAAAGACAATCATCACAGAGAGAGGTAGATCCCTGAAAACCAAGCTGAGTTCCGTCCTGCAAGAGGTTGCACCGATCATATCTTCACCCTCCGACAAATTCTTGAATAGCGACACTGCCGCCAACAATGGTTGTGTTTCTGAATCTGAAAGCTGCCTTTGACTCTGTCGACCGTAAGGCACTATGGCAGTGTCTGTGGAGCAAAGGTGTCCCCCATAAATTCTTGACCCTCCTTAAGGCGTTGCACGCCAACTCCCGCGGCCGTGTGAAGGTCTACGGGAGGCCCTCGCCTGAGTTCACCACATCAAGTGGTGTCTGACAGGGCTTCCCACTTGAAATTCGTCATTAATGCGATCGTGGGAGCCTCACTATCAGCCTCTAATGCCTGTGGGTTCGAAGTGCTCCCTGGGCCTCCGCTCACAGACATCGAGTACGCAGACGAAATAGCTCTTCTTGGATCTGACCCCGTGGTAATGCAAACAATATTAAACAATCTAGATAATTCTGCCTCATGGCTCGGCATGCGCTTCACACCTGCAAAGTGCAAAGTGCCACTGCACGGCTGGGTGGGCTGGAACCCTAGCCTCATGCTTGCGGATGAACCGGTTGAGGTAGTAGACAAATTTGTTTACCTGGGCAGCTGAATCAGTCCCGTCAGTCTGACGAAAGATGATATTTCCATCCGGATTGGGAAGGCCACGGCGACTTTTGTGAACCTGCGTCACCCATGCCGCAGGCGGGACATCAGCTCATGGATCAAGGGTCGAGTTTACAATGCTGCGGTGCACTCCATATTACTATATGGATCAGAAACCTGGCTGCTGCGTGCCGAGGACGTTAAAAGACTTTCAGTGTTCGACCGTCGGTGTCTTCGGAGCATTGCCCGACTCTGGTCGGAACGGAAAATGTACGGCAGTGAAGCATCGGTGTTGAACACTGATGTCATACTGTCGGTGATGATGATGATTCGGGGAAAATCCAACCTCCATAGATGAATTGATCACACTGCATAGGGTGCGCCGACTTGGCCACGTGCTGCGTATGCCAGTCGACTGACGTCCTCGAAGGGCTCCTTTCACACAACCACGTGAAGTGTGGAAGAGAGCCAGAGGTGGCCAAACAATGATTTGGCAGCGAACTTGACCAGCAAACTCAGCTGCGCTGGTCATTGCCATCTTCCTGGATGGGACCCCAAGACGGGCCATATCAATGCTTAGATACATGCTTAGATGTATGAGCGCAATTGAGGGCGCTCATGCATCCAAGCTATTGCCTTCAATGCATAGCTCCCTTCTCAACTCCCCACCTAACAGTGCTGTATTTAAGCACCAATTTAGCAACTCCCGCCTGCAATGCGGAGCTACCTACCCCACCTCCCTGAGTCATCGGTGAACGAAACTGCGGCAGTTAAAACCACTGTCCGACAAGTACGCGGTTATTACAGCTGACAATGATGACGACATCATGATGAAGTACAGCATGACATCAGTGTTCAACACCGATGATTCGCTGCCGTACGACCATGGTTTATTTGACTTATTATGAAGAAAAGAATCGTGGTGAACGGAGAAGGGACTTAGCGCTAGCTTACTACGATCATTCCGAGGTTCATACACCTCGAAACACTCATTCAAGCTATCGGGATAGAAACTAACAACAAGGTCGCTACTGACATTGGTTGATAGCGTCTCCAACCGGGCGCACTGAGGATCACGCGGTCTACATTCTGCTTTTATGTGTGCTAGCGAACTCCTGGCATCTTCAAGGTCAAACTATGAAAAATCAATGGCCTATTGATACTCCAAGGAAATTTAGATCCGACCACGTACAGGATACCATTTCTTTCCACTGACTTGGGTTCGGAAGCTCTGGGCATCGCCTGTTGATCGTGTGTTGTTGGATTATTAAAGTTTGTGTCCGAGGTTCTCGTCTTCTTACTATTCGCCGTGCTAGGAGTCTGTATCAAGCAACATAGCTGGGGATAGAGTATTGCCACAATCCGCATTATCATATTGTTTGCTCGCTGCGTGACCGAACCGTAACATATTTGGCGACGCAAGATGGAGGCAGAACAACTCAAAGTAATGTTTGAGCAACAACTGCAACTCATCAAAGTACTTACGGAGCGACTATCAACTACATCTTTGGCTTCACCGGCTGTGTCGAGCGTCCCACAGTTGGTTGATGGAATCGCTGGCAGTATCAACGAATTTTGCTATGAACCCTCAGCTGGCATAACGTTTGATGCTTGGTTTCGTCGCTATGAAGACCTGTTCAGGGTCGACTTTTCACTTCAAGATGATAGTTGGAAGGTTCGCCTCCTGCTCCGCAAACTTGGACCCGCAGAGCATGATAAGCACGCTAACTATATTCTGCCAAAGAACCCGCGCGATTTCACTTTTGATGAAACGGTCAACACGCTTTCACAAATATTCGGTGAGCAAACGTCACTTTTCAACATCCGTTATCGATGCATGAAGCTAGTGAAGAGTGATGCAGACGACTTTCTCACATATTCTGGCATCGTGAACCGAGAATGCGAACGGTTCAAACTCGGATCGTTAACGGAAGATCAGTTCAAGTCGCTGATTTTCATATGTGGTCTACAATCCCCGAAGGATGCTGAAATCCGTACTCGACTCCTCAGCCGCATCGAGCAGGACCCATCCATGACGCTGCAGGCCGTCACCTCGGAGTGTCAACGGTTGCTTAACCTGAAGCATGACACCGCGATGGTCCAACTCGGGGGTCATGGCGGTTCCGAGGTTCATGCAATACACCAGGATACGCAACAGCCTGGCCCTGTCAATTCTGGCCCAACCAAATCGACCTCGCAGTGTTCTGGTCCGAAGCAAAACAAAGGCTCAAAGAAGACACCACCTTCACAATGTTGGCACTGTGGAGCCTGGCACTTCGTCAGGTTCTGTCCCTACAAGCAGCATCGGTGCCGCCAATGTAAGTCCGTGGGACACAAAGATGGGTATTGTCAGTCACGGATGCATACAGCCTCTGCTGTTTCAAAGCAGTCATCACGCGCCCGTCCCAAACCGAAATCGAGTCCTGTTGGTTCCTCTCTCAGTTTGCTGGCTACTTTCCAGATCAACACGCCAGGTAACCGGAAGTATCTGACAGTCACCGTAAATGACCATCCAGTCCGTCTACAGTTCGACACTGCGTCGAACATTACCATCATTTCGGAGAAGCTTTGGCTCACACTCGGGCAACCGCCGATCAAACAAGCAGCTCGAACTGCTACCAGTGCCTGCGGTGGAGAGTTAAAACTTTCCGGTGAGCTCCATTGCTGTGTATCTTTTCGAGGAACTACATACGTGGGGTCGTGTTATATAACGGCAACTGAGGTGAACTTATTGGGTCTTGATTGGTTCGATCGCCTGGGGTTAGCTGACACTCCAATCAGCGTCGTTTGCAATGCAGTTCAGTCTCCCACGGCGCATCCAGACCATGCATCCGACATTATGAAGCGATTTACAATTGTTTTCCAGTCCGGTCTCGGTCAGTGCACTTCGACACAAGTAGTCCACGTTGTACTTGGAACTACGCCAGTCTTCCGTCCAGAGAACAGTTCCGTACGCTTCCGTCCCACTGGTAGATGCCGAACTTCAACAGTTGGAAGAACAAGGCGTTCTCTTCCCTGTATCCTACTCTACCTGGGTAGCGCCGATCGTTGTGGTGAAGAAACCTAACGGCGGCATCCGCATATGCGCCGATTTCTCAACCGGCCTAAATGCAGTTATCCAGCAGCACGACTATCCACTGCCAGTACCCGACGATCTATTCACTGTTCTGAACGGTGGGAAGTTCTTCACCAAAATCGACCTTGCTGAAGCGTAACTTCAAGTTGAAGTCCCACCAAAATCACGCCCTTTACTGACAATCAACACACATCGCGGGCTGTATCAATACAACCGTCTCCCGTTTGGCGTCAAAACTGCCCCAGCAATTTTCCAGCAATTGATGGACACCACCCTTGTGGGATTCCAGGTGTGGTCGCATACCTGGACAACGTGTTGATCGTTGCTGTTTCACCCGAAGAGCTTCGTGAGCGAATCAATGCCGTCTTACTGCGCATTCAAGACAATGGCCTCCGCTTCCGTCCCGAGAAGTGTCAATTCTTCTTGACAACTGTGAAATATCTTGGGTTCATCTTCGACGCCTCTGGTTGTCATCCTGACCCGGAGAACTTTCGAGCTATACAGCAGATGCCACCTCCTAAGGATGTCCTATCATTACGTTCCCTTTTGGGGTTAATCAGCTACTATTCGGCATTTCTGCCTTTGCACGACATCCTGCCCCCGCTAAATCGGTTGCTTGGAAAGGACGTCCCGTGCAGAATGCGAGGAAGCATTCTGCAAGCTAAAGACGATGTTCAGTTCTGATCTGCTACTTACCCACTATGACCCAAAGCTGCCGATCGTTGTGACAGCTGATGCCTCTAATTTTGGTGTCGGTGCCGTCATTCTGCGCGTCATTCCAGACGGATCGGAGAGGGCCATTATGCACGCGTCGAAATCACTAACTCCAGCAGAACAGCGATACGGACAGATAGAGAAAGAAGCGTTGACCTTAGTGTTTCCGGTTCGGCGTTTCCACAAAATGTTGTACGGCCGCCGTTTCACCCTACTCGCCGATCATAAAACATTGCACTCCATTTTTGGCTCAAGGATAGGTGTTCCCGCACACTCTACCAACTGCCTGCAAAGATGGGCCCTCATTATTCTGGGTTACGACTTCGATATTCAATATCGGCACACCACCGACTTCGGTCAGGCCGATGCATTGTCTCGCCTGATCAACAACCAGCCAACACCCGAAGAAGACACGGTTATTACGCATGTTGCATTTGAGGACTCAGCCGACCCCCAGTTGGTCCAGCCCGTGACAGTAACAGAGGTTCAAAGAGCTACCATGGCTGATCCAATGCTTCAAAAGGCGATCCAATTCATGAATTCTTGGTGGCCTTCGAACCTCACAGATGATTGTCTTCGGCAGCTCTTTCATCGCCGAGATGCATCAGCGATCGTAAACGGTTGTTTAATGTTTGGAGATCGCGTCGTTATTCCTCAATCTTTACGCCGGCGAGTTCTCCGTCAGTTCCATTCTGGACATCCAGGAATCAACCGTATGAAGTCAATAGCTCACAGTTACGCATACTGGCCGCACATGGACCAACACATCACTGATTTTGTAAAACGCTGCTCCCGATGCCAACAAGCTGCCAGGAATCCGCCACATCAACCACCGGTTCCCTAGCCTCGACCTGAGAAGCCCTGGTCTCGGATCCACATTGATTACGCAGGACCGATACGTGGCACTTTTTATTTGGTTTTGATTGACGCTTTTTCCAAGTGGCCAGAAATCGTTCCGGTGTTATCTCCAACAACATCTAGTACGCTGAGAGTGTTATCCAACATTTTCAGTCAGCATGGGTTACCGGAGTCCATAGTCTCAGACAATGGTTCGCAGTTCACCTCCGCTGAGTTCCGCGACTTTTGCACTCAAAATGCGATAACACACGTTCTTTCACCACCGTACCACCCATAATCGAACGGTCAAGCAGAAAGGTTCGTCGACAAATTCAAGAGGGCCTTGCTTAAAGCTCGAGGGGAGGAGGCATCCGTCGAAGCCCTTCAGAGAATCCTGTTTGTGTACCGAACGACCCCGAATCACGCTTTGATGAACCACCAGTCACTTACATAGGCGCTCATGGGCCGTAAACTGAGAACTCTGCATTCTTCCATGTTGCCAACACAACGTACTAAGTCAAGGTCCATACCGGTGGCAGTTGGAACTCCATTCAAGGTGGGAACGCCCGTACTTGTTCGTGACTATCGCCCAGGACGTGATTTATTGATTACAGGTCGTATCCTGCGCAAACGCGGTAGTGTGATGTACGACGTGTCAGTTGGTCAAGACACCTGGACCAGACATCAAAACCAACTCCGCTTTAACAGCACGCCGGAAACTCAAGTATGTTTGGGTACCGTACCGTGGGACATATTGCTCGATATTTTTGAGCTGAAAACTGAAACAGCTTCGAAAGAGGAGAGTGTGATCGGCAGCTCAGTATTTGATCCAACACTTCTTCCCAGGCGGTGAACAGACCGACGCCGCTGCCAGCCGGAACGTATCCAGGTCGACCCCCCTCGAGTATGTTACTGACTTTTCAGAGGAGGGAGGTGTTGGGGATATCAATATTCCTAAAAAACTATTTTTATGAATGCTAGCGAACTTCCGGCATCTTCAAGGTCAAACTATGAATATAATATGCATTGTCATTTTTCCCATGATCGCCTGTTGATCGCGTGTTGTTGGACCATTAAAGTTTGTGTCCGAGGTTTTTCGTCTTCTTACTATCCGCTGTGCTAGGAGTCTGGATCAAGCAACATAGCTGAGGATAGAATATTGTCACAATCCGCATATCATATTGTTTGCTCGCTGCGTGATCGAACCGTAACACATACCCCTGTGCCAGGTCAAGGTTTGGCCACCTCGCTGCTTCCGCTACTCTGAATTGGGAGTGAAAAAATAGCACTCTTCGGCAAACGATGGTTCGGCATACGTAACACGTCTCAACTAACGCAGCTTCTGGTGCTTGACACATTCTTCAATGGAAGTACCCGTCACACAACCGAAAACTCGCTTTATATTGCCTCGTTAAGGATACGGCGACACCAACCCACACGAACTGTGGTTCTGATTGTCGAACACCTGAAGACGTTTCCGTTCCGCCGCTTGAACGGGCCAAGTTTCACAACCATATTACAGTAAGCGTTCAGCTGTAGCACCCTTCCGGTGCCTAGCTGCCATGCCACCCGAAGGGAGCACGAGGGCTGGGATACTGGCAGGTTGCCCAAGCCTAGACAGGGGAAGTCGAGTGGCGGAGGTCGGATTCGAACCGCGGACCTTCAGGTTAGTAAATCCGCTCTAACCGCTCTAATCCGCGCTCTAACCACTTCGGCCATCTCGCCCCATATTACAGTACAGCCTTCGCTTTAGCTTCATACATACATCCTTTGAGATTCAGTGATGCACCACTTCGACGCCATAGGTGTCTCATTGTCTCACGCCATTGTCACCGATCGCCCATAATCGGTGTCGATTGTTTCACCAACTCTTCTCGGGCCGTCGATATTAAAAGGTAGAAACTTCCGGATTCTTTAACACCGCTCTCCGTCTCACCAAATCAGGTCGACGCCTCATACCCACTGGTTGCACACGTCGCCCGCACTTGAAGTATTCAGGTTTTCGACGATTCACTCAAAAAGTAACCCAGCAGTCTCGTTCGGTCCCAAGTGTCCCACACTTGGTGAAGCGCCACATAACGACCACCGGTCCTCCAATTTATTCTCGCTCTCGACGACTACATCCAGAGAAGCTGCGAATCGCCAAATCGGAGTTGGATCACATACTGCAACTCGGAACAATTCAGCCTTCGAATTCTTACTGATCTATTCGAATTCACACTCGCGCCTGTCTGCGGGATCCAAAGCTTCATAGATCAGGTAATGTGCGGTTTAGACTATGTTTTCGTTTACATTGACGACGTATTGGTAGAAAGCAAAACGATCGAAGAACACAAATTACACTGTCTTCGAGCGTTTCCAATAATACGGTATCACCAACAACCCAGACAAGTGTTTTTTTTTCAGCAGACCGGCTTGATTCCCTTGGCCATCGTGTTAACGCTGAAGGTATCCGACTGCTACCAGGAAAAACCTCTGCCGGTCCTGCTAATACCCTACCTCAATCAACCCGAAGTCTTCATTGATTTTCGGGCATGGTCAATTACTACGGTAGATTTATTCCACGCTGCTCAGGGATTCCAGCGCCACTAACCGACTTGCTCAAAGCAGGCACCAAACAATTAGAACTCGCTGATAGGGCAATCTTTTCATTCAACTCCATCAAAACTGCTCTTTTGAATGTCACCACTCAGCCATTTGAACCGCAGTTCTGATTTTCACCCTATTTTAAAAATAGGCGCACCACAAACCGCCGTCGGTGCGGTTGTTCAACAGGTGGTCAACAACAACACTCAAAATCTCTGCTTCTTTTCTCGTAAACTCCAGCCTGCACAAACTTGGTACAACACTTAGTAGGGAGCTCCTAGTGACCTACTTAGCTGTCAAGTGATTTCGACACATTCTGGAGGAAAGAAATTTCACTGTACTGACCAAAAACCTCGTTTTCGCCTTGAGATCATCCCAAGACAACACTCACCGAGAGAGAACCGAAATCGGGATTTCATTTTTCAGCTTGCAACCGACTTACTCTATGTCGAATGTCCTGACAGCGTCGTTACTGACGCTCTCTCCGGCATAGAGATAAACGACATTGGAGCGACTCCTATCAATCTACAAGCCATACCTCCGCCTAGTATCCGGAACTGGAATTTCAGACTTCTAGCCTCACGTCCCTCAATTTTGTCAAATTACCGTCTACTTCACTCTGACAGGCTTATAATTTGCGACATATCCACAGAACGTCCAAGGCCTTTTGTTCCTGAAAATACAGGTGTCCTGTATTTGACCACTTCCACGCACTCTCGTCCGAGCTACTTCCAAACTTGTGTCACAAAGGTACGTTTGACCAAACAAACAATGTATTGACTGAAAGAAATTAATCGACATACCGTTTTTCCGCCTGGCGTTTTTGAGCTGCCTGACTCACGCTTCGAAAACGTCCACATCGACTATGTTGGACCGTTGCTACCGTCCAGAGGTTTTACGCACATCCTCACTCGTCGACTTTCATGTGCTGGGCCCTGGCCATTCCGATCAATGACACTTAAGCTGAAGGTGTTGCTAGAGCTTTGTCGACAGCTTGAAATATACTCACTACCATTCCCACTGATCGAGGTCCACAATTCATGTCAACACTTTCACGATCCCAAACGGTTACTTGGCATTGATCACTTCCGAATAACTGTCTACCTGCTGACGGCATGGTCAAGCGCTTCCATCGACAATTCTTTCTGTTGTAGTCAACTGAGCGGCAGCGCTCTTCCATTAGTTCATCCGCGATATATCCGATCCTCATCCGGTATCCTTTTTCCTTGGGCTTTTCCAAATGCAGTACTTCGACTGTCATCCTTAATAGAATTTGTTCCATCGATTCCCTAAATCAACCAACTAGCTTGCAGCCACAACAGTTTGCTAGTGTCAGAGGAATGATCTCTCATAACTGCTCCAAAAACAACTGACTTACATATATATATATATATATATATAGAAGGGGGCGAGATGGCCCAAGTAGTTAGAGCGCGAATTTACTGACCGGAAGGTCCGTGGTTCGAACCCGACCTCTG